ACACAACTCTATAATAGAGCAACAGGGACATTTGGTGGCCGTTTAAGATAATGCATGCACAATTTTGTAATGCAGCAACTGTGACACTTGGAGTTCTCTCACGGTAATGCATGCACATTTCTGTAATGAAGCAACAATGGCACTCAATGGTCACTCGGGGTAATGCATGCACATTTATTAACTTTTCTAAGTAATCTTTTTCTGGTTACCATGGCCTGATTAAATGAATCCTAGAATACTCAAGGAGCTTAAGAGAGGAAATATCTGAGCCATTAGCATGCACAATTTTGTAATGCACAATTCTTTAGTGCAGCATGGTCTTCGTGGCTGAGAATATTGGGGAGATTCCCAAACCGGAGCCAGTCTTTTTAAGTAAGAAATCTGAGGAATTTCCCCATATTGAGGTGTCATTAGAGGAGGTTTTGGTACAAAGTGATAAACTTAATGGTGGTAAGTCACCAGGAGCAGATGGCATTCACCCAAGAGTTCCAGAAGAACTCAGATGTGAAATTGCTTAGCTATATTAACTGTGATTTGTAACCTACCCTTTAAATCAGCTTTTGTACTTAATGACTGGAAGATAGCTAACGTGACACCAATATTTACAAAGGGCTGTAGAGGCAAGCCTGTTAATTACAGACAGTAAGTCTAATGTCTGTACCGGGCAAATTAGTTGAAACTATAGTAAAGAATAAAATCATCAGACACGTAAATGAACATAATTTGTTGGGGAAAGTCAACATGGTTTTTGTAAAGGGAAACCATGCCTTTGTAATTTACTAGAGTTCTTTGAGGGACTCAGCAGACACATGGACAAGGGGGATCCAGTGGATATAGTGTAGTTAGAGTTCCAGAAAGCCTTTGATAAGGTCCATCAGCAAAGGCTCTCAAGTAAAATAAGTTGTCACGGGATAAGAGGGAAGGTCCTCTCATGGACTGGTAACTGGTTAAAACACAGGAAACAAAGGGGAGGAATAAATGGTTGATTTTCAGAATGGAGAGACTTCTGTTGTCCCCAAAGTGTCTGGCCTGGGACCAATCCTATATGCTCCTTTCTCCAGATCATTTATAAATATGTTAAACAGTCAGGTAGCAAAATTTGCAGGTGATACTAAAGTGCTCAAGATTGTTTAGGCCAAAGCAGATTGTGGAAAGCTTCAAAAAGATCTCAAACTAAATGATTAGGCAACAAAATGGCAAATGAAATTTAATGTTGATCAAAGTAAAGTAATGCATACTGGAAAGAAATAGTCCCAACTATACATACACTGTGATTGGGATTAATGTAGCCATAAACACTTGAGAGAGCGATATCTTGGACTCATTGTGGTTAGTTCTTTGGAAACAGCCACTCAATGTGCAATGACAGTCAAAAAAGCAAACAATGTCAGAAATCATTCTCTGTCTTATTCTCTATCCCTTTTTGATATCTTATTGCCTTGCTATACAACCATGGTACACCTATAGCTTGAATACTGCATACAGATGCAGCCACCTCATCTCCAAAGAGATATATTGGCATTTGAAAGGTTCCAAAAAGGGAACAAAAAATGGTGAAGGGTTTGGAATGGGCCCCATATGAAGTGAGATTAAAAAGACTGGGACTTTTCAGTGTAGAAAAGAGGAGACTAAAGGGGGATATGAGACAGATCTATAAAATCATGACTGGTGTAGAAAAAGTGAAAAAGAAAAAGGTAGTTATTTGTTCCCATAACTAAGAACTAGGGGTCACCAAATACAATTAATAGGCTGCAGATTTAAAACAAAAGGACGTTTTTCTTCACTCAGAGCAGAGTCAGCCCTGTGGAACTCCTCGCCAGAGGATGTTGTGAAGACTAGGACTTTAATAGGGTTCAGAAAAGAGCTAGATAGATTCATAGAGGTTAGGTCCAGCAATACTTAGTAGCCAGGATTGGTGGGAATGGTGTCCCGAGCCTCTGTTTGCCTGGAAATGGAGGACAGGAGAGGGATGACATGATGATTACATGTTGTGCTCCCTCCTTCTGGGGCATCTGGCAGCCAGCACCCCTGCATCTGACCGGGCAGAGCCCAGCGGCTGGCTGGGCAGGGCGGTGGTTTGGCAAAAGGGCATGGATCTGTCCTAGGGGAGCGCCGAGGCCATGGCGGCGGAGCGGGAAGGCGGCCGGCATCGCAGGGCAGCACCGGCGTGGGAATCCGGTTGGCCAGTGGAAGGGGTTTTGCAAAGGGGCGTAAGAGGGCTCGGGGTCCGAGCACCGCGGGAAGTGGGCACCAGCCAAGCTCCCGTGAGTTCCTTTGGGAAATCCGCCCCAGGCCTTTGCAGTCCAGCCCCACACTGCCCCACACGCAGTCTGGCCCCACACTAGCCCCTCCGCCATCGGACGCCCCAACG